ATAATAATTATTTATTCTATTTTTAGTGTATTCCATCCGAAACAATATACTAACTACAATATACTAAAGAGACCCACAATGCCCTTTAGTCTTGGACTGCACTTTTCAGTATTCAGTATTTAACCTTTTTTGAAATAGCTGTATAAATAACCGCAAGTGCTGATTACTAGAATACAAAGGCGGGACGATGTATATCATAATATATGATAACAATTTTTTAATATCATAACTCGTTATATATTTCCCAAGAAGTTTCACGTTTGATATCTAAACGTGGCTCACTAAATACACTTTTTGGAAAGAGTAAAATAATGTACCATTTACGAGGTTGCTACCTCTCGGAAATATTGAGAAAGTTTTACTAGAAACAGGGTTCGTGCTGAGGTAACCACTTAAAATTCAAGGACTATTCAAAAATGAATTTTCAAGGAGTATGTTCAGCTAACTATGCCAAGGTTTTACATGGTGGTTGCACATGGTCGACTTTCTGATAATCAAATCTTCCTGACTAGATCTATTTCAGAACCATGCAAGTAATGATCGAAGCAAAAATTCAAGGAGTTTTCAAGGAGTTTAAGGAGTAGCACGAACCCTGAACACTGATCCTTTAAAGGTTTAATGCAAATCTGAACATCTTTTGAATACCAGAGGCAAAATAGGCCTTTTTCAGTATAGAGTCATTTACTACAATTACCAGAATCCCTTGCGAACCTATTTTTCAAATTCAGTCAATTAGCACAAATTGTCTTACCTATCATCATAGATAAAATAAAAATTTCAAGAATAAAGAAAATTCAAAATCATTTTGGTAGTGGTAGTCAAATGATGCCATCATGCAATAGGCCTATAAAAATAAAAAAAACTACTTTATATAGTTCATAAAGTATAGAATTTATAAGGTATATAGTCAGTATATAGTACGGCAGATGCATGATCAATAGTTTTAGTGATCTTTGAAGACAAACGCAAGTGGTTTACATCACAATGCGATGCGAAAAACCGTGGGCAACCTAGTAACATTCTAGGAATGCTCTGTTCTTTGGCCAATCACAATTAATTTTCTAACCACAAGATAACGGAAAGATAACAACTACGCTTCTGATTGGTTAAGAAACATTCTTGGAATATTTCTAGATGCCCACGGGTTTTCGATTCGCAGTGTAACGCATTTTATGCGACATTTATTATAACTTTATATCTCCTTTACCCTACCCATAAGCGGGCGGTGGATCAAGCATCTCTAGCCTTCAGTGGCGTATCCAAAAGGTTTTTAAAGGGTTGATTGTTACCTAGAAAGGCACCACATAGCATTCTTTTTAGGCTTTACCTTATCATTTATTCTTATTACTGGGATACCTGTGRTATCACAGCCGTAATATGCCTCAGTTGTTTTTGAATTTTTTTTATTCCAAAGGGGTTTGACTAGGCACCTAATTCACCCCCTCCTCCCCTGGATCCGCACTTACTAAACCACTCCATCGCCTCTTTTCCCGTTCTCTGACTAACCAGCTAACTAGTAACTATTTTTACAAAGCTGAGAATCTATTGTCCAACCTATGTATCGGCTGTCAATTGACTCATAAACTGCGTTTTCTTTATAGCATCATCGATTCTGGTTGCTTTGTACATACACAGGGTACCAAATGTCGACAAGCCAATCATGAAGTAAAACGGCCCCGCCCAGCCATAATGTCCTACCATCCAGCCAATCAGAGGTCCCTCAATTACCGTGCCAATGCTTCCAAAACCTGAGGGGGGAAAACAGCTTTACATGTTAATAGTTTCACTGAGTTCAGGCTTTCATATAAACATATTGATCAGCAGTAGCAGCAGCAGCAGCAGCAGTAGCAGCAGCAGCAGCAGCAGCAGCAGTAGCATCAGCATCAACAGTAGCATCAGCATCAGCATCAACAGTAGCAGTAGCAGTAGTAGTAGCAGTAGCAGCATCAGCAGTAGCATCAGCAGCAGTAGCAGTAGCAGTAGCAGCAAGAGTGGCAGTAGCAGTAGCAGTAGCAATAGCAGCAGCAGTAGCAGCAGCAGTAGCAG